AAGTCAGGACACACACTCACGGCGAGGCTTCCTTCCAGTGTTATGGCCCTCGCCTCTGGAACGAGCTGCCAGAGGAGCTCAGGGCTGCAGAGAACGTTCATGTTTTTAAGTCCAGGCTCAAGACCCACCTATTTAGGTTAGCTTTTATCTAATTATTTACTTCAGTTTTATTCCTCGTTTTACATGATTATATTTTATTACTTGCTTTGCATGTTCTATATGATTATATTTTAGCATTGTTTCATTATTTAATATTATTTTACTGTCTATATGATTTTATTTATTACTTATTTTCTAACATTTGTCATTTATTTTAGCTCTTTTATTATATTTTTACTCATTTTAATCCAGTGTTTCCTCTGTAGGGGCCCTCTGCCCCGGGAGCGGTGGTCGACTGTAGCTTCCTGGGAGCTCTATAGGTGGGGGTCTATGCTCCCCCTCTACTGAGCCCCCTGGCTTAGTGTGGAAGACCTGATGCTGCCGGGACAGACGGCTCCTCTGATGGTGTTTCCTTGCGTTACCTTACTTGGCTCATCTACTGCCAAATATAATTTTTACTTGTGTGCGTGCGTGCGTGCGTGTGTGTGTGTGTGTGTGTGTGTGTGTGTGTGTGTGTGTGTGTGCATATGTCTGTTACTGTTTTTAACCTGTTATGGGAATCTGGGGTCATTTTGTAAAGCACTTTGAGTAGCACTTTGTTTGAAAAGCGCTTTATAAATAAATCTGATTGACTGATTGATCATCCTTAGATTGTTTTTTTCTTGCAGCCCAGAATAGACTTTGATCACCTTGATGAATGAACTTACATTACAATTCAAAGTGTTGGACACAGATCTGCAGGGAGCTGTGAAAAAACAATGCTTATATAAAAACATTCTCACGTGCTGTTGTTGATATCTGAAAATGATAAGAGATATCATTTCATAACAGTAAATATTTGAATCGCCTAATGCTTTAGATACATTTTGTGTGCAGAAAAACATTCCACCGATCATTGATTTTCGCCATCTAGTGGACGTGATCTCAACACACTGACTGACATATTGCAGTCCAAGATATTTAGATTTATTTTGGTTTGGTTTCAGGTGTTGTTTTCCTAAAAAGGGGGAAAACAACATGAGCAGTTTCTTCTTTTTTCTGTGCAGCTTTACATCCATGTGAGTGAACCACAGCAACACCAAACCACCTTACCGGCAAACACAGCAATGACCACAACTGAGTCAAATTTACAGATACTGTGCATCATTATAATATGTTAGTAGTTGGGAGTCTTTAATAAAGATGGAATAAGTATCTGTGCTTTCTTCTGATACTGAGAAATAAAGAAGAAGAAGAAGAAAATATAATTTCTATAGCACCTCTCAAGATAAAAATCACGAGGCGCTTCACAAAAACAAAAAATGTAAAAATATAAAAAAGCATTTAGAAAATGTTTAAAAATATATTTAAAATTAGCAAAAAATAGGCAACTGTGATTAAAAAAATGTAAAGAAAGAGAAAGAGTGAGTAGGAAAGAGGGAAATCAGTGGATCCTGAGGAAGGTGGAATAGGTGGGGAGAGCAGAATAAAGAGAGTGGTGATGAAGGTCATACCAAAACCAACTTGAACAAGTGAGTCTTCAGCTGCTTTTTAAAGGAGACCACTGAGTCCACTGATCTCAGGCTCAGGGGGAGAGAGTTCCAGAGTCTGGGGGCCACAGCAGCAAATGATCTGCCACCTTTGGTCTTTAGCCTGGTGCTGCACAACCAGTAGGCTTTGATCTCTGGACCTCAGGGACCTGCTGGGGGTGTAGGGACTAAGAAGATCACCAATGTAAGATGGTGCTTGTCCATGTAAGGCCCTATAGACCAGAACCAGGATCTTGAAATGAACCCTGAAGTTGACTGGCAGCCAGTGAAGCTGGAGGAGAAGCGGGGTGATGTGGGTGTGTTTGGAGGACTTGGTCAGAAGCCGAGCACAGGCATTCTGAACCACCTGTAGACGGTTCAGGGAGGTTCTGCTCAGACACGTGAAAAGAGAGTTGCAGTAGTCTAAGCGTGAGGAGATGAAGGTGTGGAGAACAGTCTCAAGTTCAGAGCGGGACAGAATGGGACTCAGCTTAGCAATGTTCCTGAGATGGAAGAAGGAAGAGCGAACAAGAGAACTGACATGAGAATCCAGGGTGAGAGCTGGGTCAAAGGTCACGCCATGATTCCTGACAGAAGGTTTGGTGTGAGAAGCAAAGACTAATAAATATGTCATTTACAGGTCTGCCATCTTGAGTTTTCACTGGTAGTCTCTCATTTCTTCTGCACACAATCTTGCTGTTTTCAAGCATGAAATACATAATAATGAGAAATGTTAAACATGCAACAGCGGTGAAATAATTATGTAAATCTACTAAATCAACACCTGCTAAAATCCTGAAAAACTCTCCTGCAGCATGCCACTAGAGGGCGCCTTGGTTCCTTTCAGCCTCATCTCTGTGGTATGATTTCTGTCTCAATGATTGCATCATTTTGTGCTCTCAGCAGATCCTCACAGTGCTGAGAGATCCCGTGAAAGCGTCTGTGTGATTTCACATAACATTATTTTCATGATATGCTCCAAATCTGCACCAACTGTGTCATTTCTCTGCAGGAAACGTTAGTTTGGGGTGAAAGGTTGTGGATGATACACTTCATCACTTGTTTTCTGATCTCCACAGCAACCTCTTTATTTCACGGCTATGATTTGTTTTAAACAGGATCACTGAAATAACCAGAAGAAGAGAGTTTTCAATAAGACAGCCGACTGCTAATAGATGTTTTTCCTCGTATTTTGAGCTTAGCGGATGTTGAATACCTCCTGTATCTGCCATCTCACATTTCTAGGGGGAAAAATATTTGCTGCAAGACTTTTTCTAATCTGCACAATGAGATTAAAACGATCTGTTGCCAGGATACTCTGATGACAATTTTAAGCAGTAAGCTTTGTTATGCAGCTTCCTACAGTTTTATTCAAAATCTGTGTCAGGAAGTTACAAAACTTCAAGAAAGAAATGTTCAAAATGTAGGTCACTTAAGCCGGTTTCATAAGGAAATGAGCCGTGCTAGAGAGAAAAGCAAGCTTTGAGTGTTTTCACCTAAAAAACTCACTGCTATTTATGCTCTCCTTTTTCATCAGGTGTGTGTATTTATGTGCAATCAGCCATTTAAAACTTATGATGTCCATCATATAATCTATTTGTTACAGCACCACATCACACACACACGATTCCTACGGGGAGTGTTTGGTCAAATAGGACAGTCATGGTTTTACAAGACTTCAGACAGTGAGTCAGAGGATCGTTACACAACAGTTATTAAACACGCTAAAGAAGAAGGTTTACATTAACGACACTGGCGATGCATAATACGTGTGCAGCACTTTAGTGGTTGTACAACCTTAGAGCTTACGTGTGTTACATGACTTCTCTCTAAAATGGCATTTATGAAAGCTAGTTAAGAGTTTTATGACTAATCAAACCTCCAAGAGGAACATGTTTTATGACATTGTTTTGCTGCTGTCAGGGAGCCATGTTTTGTGTCATCTAAAGGAGGAGTGATTAACATTCTGCTGTCAAATCATACTAAAGTAATATATGTATATAATTAAAATGTGTTATTTACTAACTGGCTCCAGTTTAAAGGACACAACAAAACAAAGGAGGAATATTAAAAAGCAGTTTCTCATCTGCAAGAGATATTTTGTGCATGAAAAAAATTCTTGTGCACACCAGTTTTTATCCAAATAGTATCCTGTGTTCACCAGGTACTTACTGGTGTGTACAAATTAACATCTGGTGTGCATAAGTTGGTATTCGATACACAAAGATTAGTGTGCTGAATATATGGGGCAAAAGAGTATTTAGTCAGCCTCCCATTTGTGCAAGTTGTCCCACTTAAAAAGATGAGAGGCCTGCTATTTTCATCATAGGTATACCTCAACCATGAAAAAAAACCTTATTGTCTGATTTTGAAAGAATTTTTTTTTTTTACAAATTATGGTGGAAAATTAGTATTTGGTCCATAACCAAAGTCCATCTCAATACTTTCTTGTATACCCTTTGTTGGCAGTGACAGAGGTCAAACGTTTTCCGTAAGTCATCACAAGGTTTTCACACATGGTTGCAGGTATTTTGGCCCATCCCTCCATGCAGATCTCCTCTAGAGCAGTGGTGTTTTGGGGCTGTCGCTTAGCAACACAGACTTTCATCTCCCTCCAAAGATTTTCTGTGGGGTTGAGACTTGGAGACTGGCTGGTCCACTCCAGGACCTTGAAATGCTGCTGGTTCTGTTTGATCTCTGCTGGGATCTGCTCCTGCCTTTTCATCTTTCATTACTAAGAATAAAGTAAAATGATGCTCATTTGGCATTATATGTTTATTCTACAAGGGCAACTTTTAAAACTAAATGTTATTTTAGTGGTTGGAGGGTGTTAGAAGTATTTTGTATGTGTTCATGTTTTCAGGGCCGTCTTTATGATGATTTTACGGTATGCAGGTTTTAGAACCTGGCTTATCTCTAAGGTTTTAATTCGTGCAAAAAATAGACAGAATTGGATCACATCTGTTTTGAAAAGTGGCAATGCATAAACGTTCAAGGGAAAAAAGGACGATGGATGATGAGAATAAAATTTTTTAGGTTGGGTTTCAGATTAAAACTGGATTTCCATGCAGTCATCAGTTTAATACCAATACCAGAACTGACACGCTGCTTATATAAAACATTACATAAAACCAGACTCAATCCCTCAGCCTGGTCAACTTTAACTACAAAGTATTTATTTCTTTTTTTCCCACACCAAACCGATGATTTGCATTTGTTTCTCCAAAAACATCGTGTTCTAACGTCACGTGTGAGAACTCCAACAACCGAACCAGCTTACTCCCAGCTCCTAGTTGTTCCTCCTGCCGTCTGAACAAGGGTTATACAATAATCATTATGTTATATAAGTGAGCCACATAACCAGCCAATGGGAGCGCGCATCGCACGTCACGTGGTGTCTTGCGCCTTCTTCGGTGAATTGAAATCCAAAGCTTTAGTTAGCTAGCAAGTACGATGTTTGTCTACGGTGGACGCTTTATTTTAACGTCTATTTCCTCTCTACCGAAGAAGAAGACATGACTGTCGGACGGATAAACGTACACGGATTTGGGGACGTCGTGTCTGAAAGAGTTCGCCTGCGGAGTTCGAAAAGAGGAGCAAAGGACAAGTCGGCGTTAGCTAACTCAGTAGCGTTAGCTCTCCCGGTCTCAGAGTTCCGTGGCTCACTCATATAAAAACAAGAAGCGATCAGCTGCGGAGCTTCAGATGTTATAGATCAGTATACTTCAAGTTTATGCTGAACTTTTACGAGCCGTTAACTAACTGGAGGGTCAGTGATGTCTTGATTATTTTTTTCTACAGACTAAAGGGTAAATAAGCTGTTCGCTTGGAGATTTTACCCGAATGATCTGAAGAAACTAAAGTCCGCATGGTTATTTTGACGTTCTGTCAGTAAAGTTTTGTTTGTACGCTGGAAAAACGGTCTACTTTAAAGTGACAATATGGTTGAACGCACATTGAAGGTGAAAGGGCTTTATTCCCTGTGTTTACAGGGCCATTGCTGGTCACCGTGACTCTAATTGTCAGATAAATAATTGTTAACCTTTTATTTGGCTCACTGTGGAGCAGTAATGGCGCACAGTCGCGCCGTTGTATTTTCTTTTTACTGGGAACAGTTATAATCAACTTCAAATGGCCACCAAAAGTCTGGTTTAGCAAAATTGTTGATTTGTTTGATTCTTTGGAGAAGATGGAAAATGAAGTTCAATCCCAGCCGGGCGAACTGTTCCTCCACCCGCTTTCCAACCCCGGAGCAGCAGCTCTCTGCCCTGAAATGTTGGAGGTGGCAGAGGAGGCCAACCGGGCTGGGGACTTCAGTCTGGCCGTGGAGATCTACAGTTCCCAACTCTCAGATCTCCAACAACCGGACAGGGGCTTGTGTCTGAGGAAGGCCGACTCTCTGGCCAGAGCCGGGCGGATTTCTGAGGCGCTGGAGTCGTACTGCACAGCGGCCAGCCTCGGGAAACTGCGCCCGGAGGAGCTGCCTGTTCTAGTGGAAACGATCGCCCGGTCTCTGCGGGGGAAAGAGCTGGGTGTCTCAAACGAGCATGGCAAAAGTAGCAGCGGGCAAGAAGGGGGTCACAACGAGGGGGAGTGTGAAGAGGATGAAGCCCTGGACTTGTTTTCTTGTCGCCTTTGTAAATGTTTGCTCCATGAGCCCATCACCGTGGACTGCGGACACACTTTCTGCAAACGCTGCTTGGAGGACGAGGCCGTCCAAGACTGTGTGAGCTGTAAGCAGAAGTTGAACCCAAACGACCGGTTGCCGAGCAGAAGAGTGGACGTTGTTCTCAGCGGCCTTTTGGATAAATTGTTTCCTACTGAGAGTAAAGCGAGGAAGTTCTGGGTAGAGGGGGAGGCTTTGTGGAGGAAACACAACCTCTCGGAGGCCTTGGAGAAGTACAGTGCAGCAGTAGATCTAGGTAAGAATGTACTTGTTTATTTTGTGTATCTATTTCACGTGACAAGTTGTAATTTTAAACTGCAGTGACCTACTTTCCCAGCCTAACTTCACCGTGTCACCGGTAGGGGGCGGCACTCCCAGCCCATGGTTATAGAACTCTGTCCTTCATTATCTAAGTAGCACACGTCTCATCTGTTGCTCTTCAGACCTCCATCCACTCCCTCTTTATACAGTAAGCATCAGAGATGTTTTTTCCCATCGGTCTCTTACTCTTTCCTCAAAGTACCACCATCATTTCATCAGGGTTGTATCTCTGAGCAGTGAGACAGATTAGCCACATCATCTGTTTCATAAGCTGTTGGACAACATCTGGAATGGAAAAACATTTCATAACCTGAAAGATGGAGCACATCATAGGATGAATGAACCAATAGAAAAAATGTTGAGCTTTCAATTTCTTCGGTTTTTAGTATTTTTCCTTTTCCCTCTGGCACGCTGTGTTCTTGAAGTGGAGTTAAACTACAGACTGTTCAAACTGATGAGTGTCAGCACACTTAATTTATCAAAAGCCAAGACAAAAAGTTGAGCTTACCTCCTACGCATGTTCTGGCCTAAATCTAAACCCCATAATCACATCCATTCTCCAGCAGTGTTTTTCCTCGGCTGTTCACACAAATATTGGAGCAAAATTCCCCAGCTTTCTGATCCTACAAATATTTCTTCCCTGCATCAATATTGATTCATGCCTTCTGTGTTGTGAGGAACTCCGGCCGACAGAAGGATGGGGTGTAGTCACAGTGTTGTCGCTGCCAGCCAGTGTTTTCCCAGTAAATACAGCAGGAGGCCTTCTGCTGTTTTTGGTAGATGGTGTCAGGCTCTGAATAGAAATACAGATCTTACCCAAGCTGTGGCTTTCTAGGCAAATTCTTCCTCTTTTATATTCAGAGTAATTTATTAGAGATTGAAGCAGACATACACTGAAGATCCACTATTTTTCATGTCAGTTTCAGACTAAGACCATCTTAAATTGACACGGAGTTGCAGCCATATTGGTCAGGTCTTTTAAACTATCTCAGCTACTACCAAGCCAATTAGTAACACTATCTCTGTACAATTCACTGAGTTATAGGCTTATTTCTTGTGTGTTTGCCAATGTTGATTAGATGTGGTGGCCGTCTTTTAATTGGGTTTATTCCTAAAGTAAGGCCCAGTACTCACACTGCGCCCTACAGTCTTCTGTGAAGTGCACTTGGAGGAAGTGCACGGTGAGGCTTCGAGTGCGTAGTACACAAATAATTGCTGAATTAGTACAGGGGCATTGCGTCATCAACCACAACACACGTCGGGATGGTGGTTGCTGTGCTACATTTTTTTACAACAACTTTGAAACAACCAGACAAAACTTTAAAAGCTTTGCCTTCTCAAAACTCACAGGCAGCAATGGATTGTGGGTGATACCCTTCGCCCAAGGCCGCATCGATGCAGACTTGAACGAAGTTCAGATCAAGGGTGCAAAAGGGATGTGGTCAATTTCCACACTTGAGAATCGGGTCACCCTATGCAGTGGCACCCCTGGACGGGATTGTGCATTTGGGTGGAAGTATTGGGACTGGGCCTACATCTGTAGTTAATTGGGCTACACAATCACAATTTTCTCTTTTAAGAAACAAAAAAATGAATAGGTATTTATTTCTGGAAAAAAAAGACATGTTGGCATAAGTAAAATTGGGGAACATTATCTTTGACTTAAAGTTTTAACTTTATCTTTTGACTTTTCTTCCCTCATATCTTGTGTTTTTGTGGCAGAAGCTGTTAGACTGAGCTACCCATTCTAGTCAGGTTTAAGCACCTAAGACACCGTATAACAACACAACACAAGGAAAGAGACACAAAAGTCAGAATTCTGTTTTAAGCTCGAGGAGAATGACAGAGACAACACGGTGTGATCTCCACCTCACTGTGTGAAATCCCTCGTCACTCTAGCCTTTGGAATTCGAGCACCTCTATTTATTACAAGTTGGGAGCTTCCCTAGTTACATGCCTGAAGAGCTGATCTAAAGGGAGGGGGGGGAAACACAGCTCTCAGTCTTTAATTGTTACAAGTTTCAAACAAAGAGCATTCATTATTACTCAAAGAACTTTTAGTGTCTAATCACACGATGAGTAGCAAGCAGTTGCACGAGTCAGCAATTGACAGATCAGCAGATCTATTCGGGTCATCTTTGGGTCACCTCTTAAAGTCTCATGTGGGGACTTTACAATACAGCAACTGTTTAAGCATCAAATGGTAAAATCATTAAGCATAAAACATGATAAATGAAAACAATCTTTAATTAAAGCTGCAAGCAGCGTCGTTCGGCCTTCGCAGCTCCGCGCCGCTCCGGCCTGGCCGGCAGCCCAGGGCACCAGGGCATGTCCGCGGAACAGAAACGTCGACCACCCCAACACCAGAAACCGCTAACGGTCACCTCGTCCGCACCTCACCCTGACTCAGCATCCCCTCTGAGCTCACCATTAAATTGAATTGTAAGGTTACGGCGTTACGCCAGAATTCGTCATGGCATCAAAGCCCCTCCCTTTCTGGAAAGCTATCAGATCTGAATGGTCAATACAGCATCATGAAGACAGTGCATGACCTTTGTTTCGTGTTGACTAAATTAGAGGGGACAAATATGGGCAATTCACCATAAAACAATAGGCTTCCTGTAGTCAGGGGGCGGGGCTTAGGTGATGTCAGCTGTCCACATTGTCATTGTTTACAGATGTGGTCAATGATCACACAGACAAAGTTCGAAAAAGATCTGATCATGCACATGGGAGTTATTAAGTCAAGTAAAGTAATGGCGAAAGGTCAAAGTTTGAGGCTTAGCCACGCCCACACCTTTCAACTTTTGAAAAATCCGACGGTTGAATTTTTCCCCCTATGTCTTAAGAGTATATAGCAGAAGTTTGAAGGAGATTGGCGAAAAGGACGATGGAGCATCACTCTCCAAACAACGTGTGCGAAAACCACTAAATCGAGTACTTGGACCAAAATAACTGACTTTCTGTGCGACTTTGCACTTGGCTCCAAGAGACTTTTTTGTAGGTCCTGAGACACGACATTAGTGTACCAAATTTCGTAATCCTAAGTCAAAGCATGGCTTGGGGCTGACAGTTTTAATTGCTCTAGGGGGCGCTATGTAAAAAAATAGACCACGCCCACAATTTTCAGCTTTCTATTTCTCTTGGGGGTCAGACTAGGATCACTCACCAGAAGTTTCGTAGCAATATCACGATAACTGAAGAAATGAGAGGCAAACGTATTTCCATGGCGTGATGGCGATTTTCGCCATGCTCCCGAAGCCCCGCCTTTTTTCGAAACCTACCAGTACTGGATACCAAGTGATCTCAAGTTGTCTACTGCTATTTGCCAGAGATTCCTGGTGATTGGGTAAAAGGAGTCCAATATGGAGCTGTGAAAATAAGAGTTGCATGGCGAAAGGTCAAAGTTTGAGACTTAGCCACGCCCACATATTTCAACTTTTGAAAAATCCGACGGTTGAATTTTTTCCCCTATGTCTTAAGAATATATAGCAGAAGTTTGAAGGAGATTGGTGAAAAGGGCGACGGAGCATCACTCTCCGAACAACGTGTACGAAAACCACTAAATCGCGCACTTGGACCAAAATGGCCGACTTTCTGTAAGACTTTGCGCCTTGCTCCAAGAGACTTTTTTGTAGGTCCTGAGACACCACATTAGTGTACCAAATTTCGTAATCCTCAGTGAAAGCATGGCTTGGGGCTATTAGTTTAAATGGTCCTAGGGGGCGCTATTTCAGAAATTAGGCCACGCCCACATATTTCAGCTGTCTATGTCTCTTGGGGGTCAGACTAGGATCACTCACCAGAAGTTCCGTAGCGATATCACGATAACTGAAGAAATGAGAGGCAAACGTATTTCCATGGCGTGATGGCGATTTTCGCCATGCTCCCAAAGCCCCGCCTTTTTTTGAAACCTTCCAGTACTGGAGACCAAGTGACCTCCAGTTGTCTACTGCTATTTGCCAGAGATTCCTGGTGATTGGGTAAAAGGAGTCCAGTAGGGAGCTGTGAAAAAAAGAGTGGTGTGGCGACAGGTCAAAGTTTGAGGCTTAGCCACGCCCACACCTTTCAACTTTTGAAAAATCCGACGGTTGAATTTTTTCCCCTTTGTCTTAAGAGTAAATAGCAGAAGTTTGAAGGAGATTGGTGAAAAGGACGATGGAGCATCACTCTCCAAACAACGTGTGCGAAAACCACTAAATTGCGCACTTGGACCAAAATGGCCGACTTCCTGTGCAACTTTGCACTCGGCTCCAGAGACTTTTTTGTAGGTCCTGAGACACCACATTAGTGTACCAAATTTCGTGATCCTCAGTCAAAGCATGGCTTGGGGCTGACAGTTTTAATGGTCCTAGGGGGCGCTATTTCAGAAAATAGGCCACGCCCACCGGATATTCACATCAGATCTTTTGCGGGGCCAGACTAGGATCACTCACAAGAAGTTTCGTGACGATGTCTTTAGAAATGACGAAATGGGAAGCAAACGTAAGGCCACGGCGGTACGCCTGACTTTGCCGCGCCGCCACAGCCCCGCCCTCTGCCGAAAACTCCCATAAAGTGACGCCAAGCAACCCCCAGTTGTCTTGAGTTACCAGCTGCAAATTCTAGGTGATTAAGTGAAATGGGGCAATTTGGGACCTTTCACAGTAAAACTTGACCTTTTTGGTCCTGAGGGGGCGGGGCTTGTGTGATGTCATCATCCGACCTTTCAATTTACTTTGTGGGGAGATGAAGAATGACCACAGATTGTTTGGTAACTCTATTCCATTCAGTTACGAAGTTATAGCAATTTAAATTTTTTTGGCGAGTAGTCAAATTTCGAGGCCTGGCCCCGCCCCTTCATCATATACGAAAACTCAGAATCCTTGTCTCATTTTGTTCGCCCATGTCGTCTGAGCAATTTTACACCACTTTTGAGATGATCATGCAAAAAAT